TGAAATAAACCCTGTACCTCCACTCCCTCCCCACGGTGAGCACCGCACAAAGTATGTTTACTTTAAGTTTTACATTAAATATGTTTCCATACTTTATTTTTAAAAGGTGAAAAACATTCAATGTAGGAATACAGGAGCTATGACTACCAATCTGTGCTCAACTCGAAAAGCCGCATCTTTATTTTTAACTATGTGCATGTGTGTGAGTATGCCAAGTATGTGTGGGTGCTATAAAAGCCAAAAGATGGAGTTAGATCCCCTAGAACAGGAGGTGTGGGCTGTCTGAGTGGATGCTGGGAACCAGACTGAGGTCCTCTGAAGAGCAGAACAAGCTCCTAACCACTGAGCTGTCTTGGTTTCTACGCCCCGCTCATTTCTGGGACTGTCACAAACAAATCCCACACACTGAACGGCTGAGGATAATGTGAGTCTTTCTTGACAGTTCTGTAGGGCAAGATGTTTCCTCCAAAGGCCCTGGGGAGATCCTTCCTTGCCTCTCCCAGCATCCTTGGCCACAAGTGTTTCCACATTGTCTCTACTCGGTGTGTGTCTACGGTCCAAGTTTTCTCCCCAGAGGAGGACACCTGCCATATTAGGTGAGGGCACAGTTGACTCCAGGATGGCTCCTCGTAACTCACCAACTATATCAGTAACAGACGTGTTCAAATAGTCATATTCTAAGGCACACAGGGTTAACACATTAAGATGGCATTATCATCTTCTAGGTGACAACATTCAACCCACGGCACCACAGCCATGCAGTTCATCTTGGTCTCAATGCCCAGCATAGCCCCGGCAGCACTTGGTACTGACAACCTGCTCTTTACTCCTTCAGGACAGCTTTCCCTTTGCCCTTCCATTGCAGCTCTGTCTTCTGTGGGTCCCTCTTATCCGACCAACTCTCCAGACTCTGTCATCGTTAGCTTTTGATTGCCAACTTGACACAGCCTTCAGTCATCTGACGGGGGTGTGGGTGGGGGAGCCGCAAATGGGAAACTGCCTAGGTTAGACTGGCCCATGGGCATGCTTGTCATGATTATTAATTGATGTAGGAGGAACCGGCCCACTGTGGGTGGCACCATTCCCTGGGCAGGTGGTCCTAGGTCGTGTAAGAAAGGTGACTAAGTATGAAGTTGAGCATGAGCCACAGAGCAGGCCAGCAAACAGTGTTCCTCCGTGGTTCTTGCTCTCCCTTCCTTCTGTGGCATATTCTGACCTGGAAATAAATGTAAGCCATATAGACCCTTTCCTCCCCAAGTTGTTATTGGTGAGCGTTTTATCACAGCAACAGGGAGGAACTAAAGACTCCATCCCTTCCACCCTAGAGGAGTTCAGTCTCACAGCTTCCACACCATCATCCTGACAGACGCCATGGCACTGTGACCACCGTCTCTTCTATCTCCTCAGCTCATCCCAGTGGCCACGGAGTAGCTCTGGCTAAGAGCTGAGGAGACACGTCTGATCCTCTTCTTCAGATTTCCTGCACCTAGTGCCATCCTGGATCACATTCTGGTTCCGGTCCTCCCCTCAGCCTCCCATGTCCATACAGCACAGGGGGCTGAGCCCCACCCACACTTGCTAGGGTTAACGTTTTTCCTGGGGGCCTGCAAGATTCTGATGCTGCTAGCGAGTGGGCACCACCAGTTTAGACTGGTGTTCCTCAGTGTGTGCCTGCATGTCACTGGGTATTGTGGAGACATCTACTCCGACCTGCAACCCCGTGTGTTTTAGTTTCATTTCTGTTGCTGTGATAGAATACCTGAACAAAAAGCAAATTACAGGAGAAGTGGTTTACGCCAGCTCCTCAGACACCTGGACTGTGCCCTCTTCCATATCACCAGGCATATCATCTCAGGGACTGCTCAACTGCTACCACAACATAACTAGGCATGAACACAATGCCTGCCTCCCTGGGGCGGCTTCAACAGTGACTGTGTAACTCTACTGACTGGCCGTCCACAGCAAGTTTGCTGACCACTGGCATAGGCCCTCCTTTCAAGGTCCTATGGTGTCACCTTGTAACTGGCTGCATGGCATCAAGTCTGGCTTATTGTCTGCACTTTCCTTCTCAGAAGCACTTGCTTCTCTCCCCTTCTGTCCTGACCAGAGCCTTCCCTGAGCCTGGCTAGTGGTCTCTCTTCCCTGACTCACTAGGCTCACCCCACCTCCCTCTATCTTCTTCCCAACCTAAACTCTCCTTTTGTGCCTGGTGAATGCTCCTCCTGCCTCTCTTCCTGCAGACCAGAACCCTCCTCTGTGCCTGACTAGGCTTCCCTGCCTCTCCCCAACCCCCACTAACCAACCATAAGGGTCCATCGCTTAGAACCATGCACAGCCTGCACAGGAACACGCTGTGGCTCCCGCCAGTCCAATATTTTGCCATACGCCTGTTTGGCAGTCGCAGACCCTCGTGTCTATAGCATCTCCAGGGGAGTGCCTCGCCCCACACTCCCTAGACTGGTGGTCTCACCCTTCCTCACGATGCCACCCTTTAATACAGTTCCTCATGTTGTGGTGACTCCTGGCCATAAAATATTTCTCTGCTACTGCGTAACTGTAATCTTGCTACTGTTATACATGTAAACATCTGATATGCAGGGTATCTGATCTGTGACTCCCCCAAAGGGGTCGTGACCCACAGGTTGAGAACCACTGCTTCCTGTCGGCAGCGCCTCAGTGCCTGTTGGTTCAGCACCTTCAGTGTCTTCTCCAGCCGCTCAGTCCAGGGCAGGCACAGGACTCTCACATTACACAGTCTCCCCGGACACAACCTTCCCTCCCGTTACACGGAGCTTATTGCCTCTGTGTACAAAGAAGGCACATTTTCTGAGAAGAAAAGGGGCAGGGTTTTTGTTGTTGTTTTGTTCTTTTTTTTCTTTTCTGAGCATCATCATTTCCTCAGCACACACTCTTTACCCGCAACACCGGCTGCCACTTCTCCACTAAATCCCTGCTGCCGGGGAGTAACAAGTCCAGTAAGCCGGGCTCCATCTGAGAGCAGCTGGGGGATTTAAGGGCTCATGGCTCTGTCTGCAAGCCTGTCCCTTGGTTTCTGGAAAAACCACACTTTCCCTTTCCTGTCTCGCTTTCTAATTATTCTCTGGCACATTCATTTCACCAACCGCGTGAACTCTGAGCATCAGAGATGCCATCTGGAGCCTGCTGCTGCCAAACATCCTAGCACAAGGAGGGCCCTCCATTAACATCAGTTAAAAGAAAGTCCACGTCACTGCAGCTTGAAAACCTCCCTTTGATTCTAGTTCCCTGTGACAGCCTCTACATACCTCAACTCTGAGTCTACTACCCCTGCCGAGTCTGATGGAGACTCCCTCTTGGTCTGACTTTTCTCTGGGTCTTCCTGCATTGTGGTATGTCTGCTGAATGCCGAACACCCTGCCTAAGGCAGAGCACACACCTGAGGCTCTGGATGATGTCCCCTTCCTCCAGGGAGGACTCGGCTTCGCTTTCAGCAGGCAGGTGACCCAGAGACATCACCCAAGCCCAAGTCGTCTCGGAACTGATTCAGACCAGAGCTGTAACCCCTGGGAGGGAACCCCTTACTCCCAAAGAAAGGCTTTCTAGGGTCCTAGCCATGCCCGAGTGTTGACCAGGCAGGTTTCTTCAATTTCTGTCCCCAGTCTTGGGAGTCTGGCAAGAGCTCTGCTCAGACACTCAAAGCCACCACAACAAAGGAGCTCAGCACCAGAAAGAGCCACAGCAGGTCGGCTGAGACACAGCCACCCTCCTTCCTCCCTTGACTAGAAACTGGGAGTCTGCTGGCCTGGGTTCTGTTTGTTCAGCCCCAGACGAGTCTATGACCCTGGCCTTGTCTCAAGGCGTCCTCAGTGTTTCCTGTGAAAACCATCTGGAAAAAGATTTTTCAGGAGTCTTTCTTACTCCAGCAGTCTCACAGTGGCTACTATCCCTGCCAACTCTCACCTTAAGTAATCCCAGCTACAATCTGAGGCTCAGCCAACGCCAACCCAGAGACTGTTACAACTTGGCATTTCCACAATGACATTTTAACATGGGTGCAAACTACAGCAACATAGATTTTGATTTACAGATCTTCTGACCCTCTGCAAGTGTGCCCACTTGTGCTGAAGGTCCTTACAAGGTGATGGACCGACACACAAAGCCGACAAGGACCCACCCAGCACTCAGGAGGTCTTTTAAGAGAACGCTGGCTGGGTGTACAGAAGCAGTTAGAGTAGCAGAGGGTCCAGTCAGCTCTGGTGCTGCAGAAAATACAAGTCTGAGTTTTCCTCAGTAGAGGAGAGTATTAGAGGATGCAAATGTTCTGGTTGTCTTTTTATGAAAGGCAAAGAAACCAATGAATGAAGGACGGGATAAATCAGAGCCCTGCTTTTTTATGTGCAGAGAAGACCCAAGGTGGCTATCACCACAGAGAAGACCCACATGTCACATCCTCCCAGGGAAGACCTGAGACGTCACATCCCTACTGCCAGAGAAGACTGCCAGTGTCAAGTCATCACTGAAGAGTGCTCTTCTGTGCACACTGGCTAGCTCCAGCTGCTGTTTCTCAGTCTCCGGTTTATGTATGCCCCACGCCCCCCTGACCTATACCTCTTCTCTCTAATTGAACAGCCTGGCTTCGAACGCCTCTTGTGTAGTATCTCTCCTTCCTTTCAGCACATGGACCTACCATAAACCCATCCAAGGGCTGTGTACCCAGGATTCACAGCCAGGCTACTGGTGCGTGCGGCAGCAACATAGTGGGCAGAAGCGACTCAACTACGTCAGTCTTCACTTCTTCTAAGTGTCAAACAAAGGCCCTGGTCAACTCTCTGCAGGGGAGTTAAGGACACAAAGGAGACAAAGATGTACACGGTGCCTGTCAATGAAGAGCTAAAGTTCAAAGAGCACCCATTTCTTATGCGCTCCACAAAGACGTCTGAGGGGGTCAGTGCTGAGGTTCCTCCTGTGTGGCTGACCCCACACCCTTGCATGGCTGTGGCCGGGGGACACTGTTGCCTTACCTTGTGCAGCCACAGTGGGAGGTTTCCAGACGCGCTCTGCAGGGAGCTCTTCTGCTGCACCGCTGCCCAGCAGTATGAATCCACGAAGGCAGCCTGGCGCCAGGAGAACGAACTTGGGGAGAAGCAGCTTATCTGGGTACCTGGGAAGCAAAGCAGAGAGTTCCAGATGAATGAAGCAAGCGGCCTGCATTCCGCCCCACCCCCTGTCCCCACTGACTCGGATCTGAAGTGTTGCCCATGTCAAAGCTTCCTGAACTGCACCACAACATCACACACCAAATGAACACAGGCATCAAAAAATCTTGACAGTAAAAGGTTTCTGGATATGCAATGACCAAAACTTCAAACTCAAATGTGTAACGAATCCAAAGTTTTCTGGGAGCACTCATCCACGTCGAACTGCACAAGTTCATGGCAGCCTGGGTTCTGAACACACCACGTACACTTAGCATCACACAACAACCTGAATACTACCTGTAGCGTTTTGGCTCACAGCCACGACTACTGTATGCTATTGCACTAGTTCGTTTTTGTCAACCTGACACAGGCTAGCGACAGGTAGGAAAAGCCAGTAGAATTATTCTATCAGACTGGCCTGTGGCATATCTGTGGGACATTTTCCTAATGATACAGAAAGACCCAGCCCTCTGTGGGAGATGCCGCCCCTTGGGCAGGGGAGCTTGGGTTGTATGTGAAAGGTAACTGAGCAAGGCAGGAGGCGCAAGCCAGTAATAATTCCTCCATGGCCTCTGCCTCGGTTCCTGCTTCCAGATTCCTGCTCTAACTTCCATCAGTGACAGACTGTGATGTGGAAATATAAATCAAATGAACCCTTCCCTTCAAGTTGCTTTCGGTCATGTTTATCACCGTCATACAAGGCAAACCGGGAGAGTTACGAACTGCAGTGTTTTAACTAACTGTGCATACAAAGTTTTCTCCTTTCATGCAAGCATAAATGGCTATATCACAAAAAAAAAAAAAAAAAAACAAAGGCCAAGTACCATCCTAGTTACACAGGGACCAAGTCAGTACATCTTTGGGTTGAATTAAGGCAACAAGCACCATCCTAGTTACACAGGGACCAAGTCAGTACATCTTTGGGTTGAAGTAAGGCAACAAGCACACCCATTCCATTAGTATGTAATTCGCTGCTGTCTTTAATAAGCGGTAAAATTATATATATACAAGAATGGTGTTAAATAAATGTATAGTACACCTATATATTATATACCTACACACCGGGGTTCTCATAACAGCCATGAGTGGAAAACGTTTAAGACGTCAGATCTAGGTTGTGGAGGACCAGGGCAGAGGAGGGGATGACGGTGACGAAGGATAAGATGCACACCAGCACATACTAAAACTGAGCACTGTGGAGGTACATCTGGCTGGCAGTGGCCCTAACAGCAGCTTGGACTCCACTGGGGGAAAATTCTAGAAAGAAGTGAAGCTACCACAAAAACAACAGGGGAACAGCAAAAGAACCAGTCAGCATGAACAGAAATGCTGAGTTTAGGAGGCTGAAGGAGAAGGGGTGTCCCATGGGTGGGTGGAATAAAAGAGCAATTCAGTGCAGGTGCGCACAGGTACACAGTACTTGTGTGCATGTAGAGGCCAGAAGTCAGCCTTAAATATTCCTCCTCACATTACTTCTTGATAGAAAGTCCTTCAATAGAACTGGGGTTCATAAACTGGACTAGGCTACCAGCCAGCAAGCCCCAGGATCTTCTGGCCTCTATATCCCCAACAAGCATGTACCACACCTGGCCTTTTATATAGATTCTGGGAATCAGAGTCAGATTATGCAGCAAGCACTTCACCCAGTGAGCTTTCTCTGTAGCCCTCAGGAAAAAGGACTTTTTTTTTTTTGGTCCCAAGAAAGAGAAGTGTGAAAGAACAATGACCATAGATAACTGGTGGGCCAAGCAGTAATTTTCCATTTCCTCTAAAGAAAAGGAAAAAAATGGCATAAACCAAAGGGTTACCTAAACGGTTTAGATTTAGAAGGCAAATGCCCAAGACAATGAGCCTTCCAACAGAAGATGGATGGAGTTGAGTGGGGATGAGGACAGAAGACCTACGCCCTCCTTAGGGGTCTGCTGTAAATGTGTCCCTCTGGGAAGGGACTGGAGGATGTGACTTTCTCCACAGCGAAGTGAGAACTGCATCACTCTGCACACACGGGTGTTTTGTGTGCTGGACTCTGAATGGCAGTCACTCAACTCACGTGGCCTTGGGGTCCAGCAGGGCTATGCCCCTTGTTCTTATCATGTGTTTATTGGGTTGGGGATGTGTCACAGGCATAGGAATGAGCTGCTGCTTGGTCCCCTTGCCTTCCCCCCTCCTCTCTAGTCCCCCTACAGATGAGGCATGCTTTCTCCCACAGCCCATGCAGTGTGAGGAGGGCCCAGTGCCTGGGCTCTGCTGCTGTATTTAAACCTCACTCTGCCATTCACTTGGGTGACTCATTGCTGGTAAACCACTTAACCTTCCAAAGCATGGGTCTCTAATGGGGATGGCATTTACATCAACACTGCACATTGTTGTATGGACAAGAGAGGGAGGGAGGCAGCAAAGAGGTTACAGTAGTGCCTGGTTCTCACTGGTTGCTCCGTGAGTGCCAGAAAGCAATGGGCTGACTTTTCCAGCATCGCTTTACAGACTAAAGCACACCCATCACTGTCTCCTGTACTCTATGGAAAGGGGGCAATGACAGTGAGGTGGACCTCCCTATGCCCTAGAATATAAGAGGCCTCCAAGGGCCACCTTCCCCTGGGGAGCAGATTATCCACACACTTGTATTAAGAAAAGGAAGCAGTCTGTGGTGCCAGAAGAGTAGACTTTGGAGGCGGTGTTGGGTGCATGGTAAAGGCCCTGAGCACCCCATCTTCCTCAGCAGGTGACTTGACACCCAGGCATCAAGAAAGACCTTCACAGTGAAGCTTGGGAGAGACCATCACCAGCCATTGTGAAGCATCTTACATGAGAAACAGATCTTGCCATCAAGTGAGGGTGTTAAGTATGAGTTGGAGTGGGTAAGACATTTCTAGGTGCCCCTGGCCCCTTTATCCCATTAAACTCAAGATCTTACATTTTATAAAACATAGAATCAGAATGCATGGGCCTCTTCATGCTCTTCCTGCCTCAATGGGACCTTCCCAACACCTTCACATCACTATCCACCAAGGCTAAGTGTGCAGCTACAATGGACAGTAGGGTGAGTAGGCCCCAGGTTCTCCTAAATCTGCTGGTAAGCTCCGTGCTTGGGAACATCTGTCCAAACACTCATGAAAATAGACAGTGCTGTTAAAAGTCCACAGAGGCCTGTCTGGCTCAGAACATATCCTCAGAACACTCATCTCCAGTATTTACGAACATTCTCCCTCAAGCAAACTGCCTCAAGCTCTATGTTGGCACTTGGGGACCTTTCCCACGGCAGCAGCAGAAATTCTTGAAGAAGAAACACAACTAGACGTTTTATAGCAAACATTTTTCAAAAGAGAAAGGAGAAAACTGTGGGCTGGAGACTGAGTACACACCGAGGTCCTAAGGAAACAGATGACAGCAGGCAACTGGCACTCGCGAGACACCACCAGTTCCTTCAGTTGTCACCTACTCTAAGGTTCAGTCGTATGGAGCGAAGGAGCCACTTGACCTTAACCCTGGAGGGAACTAAAGCTCAAAGTGGTCCCACCATCTTTCACCATCCTTGCCTCTGGACTCCGTTACTTCAGCAACCCGCCTCTAAAGGAGTCCCCACTAGGGGCTGTTAGGACAGCATGGCCTCAGCAGGCGGTTCCTCCAAGTGGCCAGAGGTGGAAGGCTTTCAGGCAAGGGTTGAAGACATTCCAGCAAATGAAACAGATCAAGGCCCCGGTACTTGGTGTTTTCTGCCTAGCAACCGGAAAGTAACTCAGAGAAGCCCAAAGCCAAGCTGGGTGACCCTGACAGAGGAGCAGCACTTCACGGGCACCCAGCATTCAGCCTACATCTCTCCCCTGGTGACGGTCTGGCATCAGGGTGGTCAGCCATTGCTGTGGGCTGACAGGTTTGGAACCTGGGTACTTGGCAAAAGGGCCCCACAAGCCTCCTCCCCAGCACTGTGTGAGCTGAAGGAGAGCACTGAAGTCTCGAGGGCGTGACAGCACTGTTGTGTGCACCCTATGCACAGTGGGCATGCCGGGATCTGAATACAAAATGTTCCTACAGGCTCACGTCCCTAGCTGCTGGCACTATTTTGGAAAGCTCTGGGGTCTTGTGGAGAAGCAGGTCACTGGGGGTTGTGCCTTCGTAGGATGTATCTGGTTCCCTGCCCCTTCCGGTCTCGTTGTGCTTCCTTCCCCATGTTCCCTCAGCCGGAGGCTTTGTAGCCAAGCAGCCTTTGCAACTATGAGCCAAAATATACCCATCCTCCTTCAAGTTGTTCTGAAGGATCTGGGTCACTAATTCTTTTGTTTGAGAAAGGATTACTACAGCACACAAAGGAAAGTCAAGAGTTTCAGGTTTACGCCAAGAAGAAAAACACCACCACCACCAACAAAACCACTTTCTGGCTGGCTGAAATGTAGCGACAGCTGTGGACTCGACACCCACATAGCTGGCAAAATAAGGCAAGATCTTGAAGAAGAAATGTGTGTTTTCTGGGGCTTCACAAAAGAAGTCTCACCTGCTAAGCAGATAACCTGAGCCACAGAGGTCCCTTTACCCCATAAAAGTGCCTCTAGCTGGAGCCCAGAGCGTGAACACACCTTCTGCTTGAAGAGCAGCCCAAAGGCCACTACCACTGCCTAGACCCACATTTACTTCAGAAGCAGCACTCATGAAAAGCACAGAGCAATGCAGCCCAAGAAGCAGGCCCAGGGCACAGGGACAAACCGGGAGCCAGCTGAGGTTTCTCAGGAACATTAATGCCAGTTGGGGTTGCCTCCATCCTCCTGCTGAAGGCGAGGCTCTGGTCTACTTCTGCTACGGTCCCTTCTCTTTCTTCAGCTCATACACAATACTGACCCAGAACCAGCAGAAGAGAGCAAGGGCAAGATGAAGAACGAGGCTGGGTTGTGTCCTATGCCTTCTGACTAACACCCATAGCTCCTCCTGGCTCCCCGAGGGAAAGTAAGTTTGCTTGTTATCTGAAAATTAG